CTGAGGAATGATGATAGATATCGATATGCGGTTTCAAGTATTAAGTTTTTCATTAGCCCAGTAAAATAACGTGACTTTCATATATTGTTTGTCCATTTTTTCGACTATTTTTTTTACATCTCTTGAAATTGCTTCATCTTCTCCTCATGCATTCCACATGCATTATGTATAATATGCATCTACAAGAATCATTACCTTGCAAAATAATGGTCATTGAATTGATTACTAGTACATACTTATTGATCTTTTGTTATTCACTCCCTCATGATACCTAATCGTCACCTTTTTCAACCTGTGATTACCCACGACTGTGAAAAATCATTCACATTTTTCGATTTCAAAAATTTTTGAAGGCATCTAAAACTTGTTGTCATGTACCATTCTCAACAATTTTGAGCATTCCCCACTCATTTTGTAGCCATTCTCTATGCCATAGAGTCTATGGCATATGGAGCCATAGTGAGCGTCTCTGGTCTATAAAATCTAATATATGGAATATGTTCTTTGTAGCGAGCTATAACAGTCCTATCAGTTTGACCAACATATTCTTTATGCACATATCATGGAATTCCAGGTGCAGAACAGGGAAGCTTGATAAAATCTCATTCAATATCTGCATTTCTGACGGTTCATCGTAACACAACTCTCTCCTAATATGAAATAAATGAATACGAGGTCTGTTGAGAAATAAGGTGAATTTCCGATTATTTATTCATCAATGCTATTTTATCTCCTTCAAACAAGTCCCACTCAGATATATTACAGTTGTGCCTAAGGAACACAAAAAAGTCGCATGGGGCCAAATCTGGAGGATAGAGTGGCTCAGGCATTGAAGTTTGACCTCCTTTATATTGACAGATTGATCTGATATTTTGTACACACCAGCTATCTCTGGTTAACGGAAAACCCTACGAACGACAACCCTCAGAGGTCGAAACTCGTGCGAGCTGAGGACTAACGAGGTCTTACCTTTCAACGTGTAATTCCTAGCACGAGTAAAACAATTGGAAAGTGAAAACTTATGTCGAACGGTTTTATAAAAAAAATGTAGGTAATGTACTAAACAGTAAAAAATAATTCGAAAGATCAGATAAAAAATAATAAAATCGTTGGGCGGAGTATTTACATATTTACTCAGGTTACGCTACGTTCAACGATTTTATTATTTTTTTATCTGATCAGTACCGTAGATCGCTGAGGAGGGTGGTGTGATGACGGCTACCTAGGACTTTCAGAACTATTTTTTTTTTAGTTTTTAGTGCATTATCTATATCATTATTATCTTCTTTTCAATGAAACCGTTAACCACAAGTTTTTTTACTCATTTCATTCATGAAATAACTGTAGATAATTAAAAGATAATTTCATCTGATACAATCTCACAAAGAACAGCTATTGACCATGCCACATCTAAATTTGGTTAGGAACCAAATTGCCAATAGCAAAACAACTTATACCCAAAACCGCAGATCTTGCACGTGACCTTGTACAGCTCTTTGAAATACCGGGTGGAACCAATTCAAATTTCACTTTCAATAACAAATATATCGGACAAGTATTGATTGAACATAGGTTGCAAAACTTTGAAATATTTAATCTTCGTTTCAGTGACACAAGTTTCTCAATATTCATCGACTTGTTTTGGGTATTCTCCACTTCAACAATTTAAAAAAATATTAAAATATTAATAGAAAACTTCATTAGCAAACATTTAATTTCACCCCGATAAATGAATGCGTAAATTCAACATGTTCTATTCATCAGTTGCTTATCACAAAAAAAATTAGATATTATATGTGGACTGTTCAAGAAATAAAATAAATGTTCANTGCTTCTATGAATATGATTACATTATGCATTTTCTGTTTTATCGAATACAGTGTCTTTTTTTGTGAATATTATTATATTATAGATTTTCAGTTTTATCGAATATAGTGTATACTTTTTATGATCGAATATAGTGTTTGCTTTTGTGAATATGATTACATTATGCATTTTCTGTTTTATCGAATATAGTATCTTCTTTTTATCGAATATTGCGCCTACTACTTTTTATGATCGATAATAGAGTTTGCTTTTGTGAATATGATTATATTATGCATTTTCTGTTTTATTGAATATAGTGTCTTTTTTGGTGAATATAAATATACTATAGATGTTCAGTTTTATCGAATATACTGCCTTCTTTTCATCGAATATTGTGTCTACTACTTTTTATGATCGATTATAGTGTTTGCTTTTGTGAATATAGTGTCGTGTATTTTCTGTTTCATCGAATATAGTGCTACGAACATTCGATTAACGATTTTTCACGCTAGTACCCTCGTTATAATAATAATAATATTAGTCATTTATTTCCTAAAGATAGTTATAAACCATATGGAAAAAGTCAGTTGTTTACATTTAAAATACAATAATACTAATACTAATACTAAAAAAATTGATTTCACCGCAAATTGCCACAACAAATATCCATCCAGTTCATAAAAACACTGTTCTGTCAAAAATAATTTCACATTATATTTGAATGATTGCTTTATCATGCAGTTTCTAACATTTGAAAGAATAGCATTGTATATTCTAGGAGCCATATGACTGGGAGATTGGTGAGTTATTTTGAATTTTCCGAATGGAATTGAAAAATCATTCTTTTGTCTTGTATTGAAACTACGATTTTGTTTGTTCCTCATATATTTCTCGAACATATGTTTATAGTTTGTTGGTGAGAGGCATATGAATAACAAGTGGTACAAGCTTTCCACAGGAGGTCGAGATAATGTGAATAACGACGCTTGCCCAGGACGCCCTAGCACACTAACAATCGATGAAAATGTTGAAAAAGTGATGAAAATTGTTATGGACAATTGAATTTGCTGGGAATGTAGGCATATCGGTAAGCTCATACCATTTTTTTCAAGGACAAAACACAACCACTACAAGAAAATCCTTAAGGGGCTTCAAGAGCGGTGCCTGTGCGAAAGTAATGATTCACATTTGAATCGCTGGAGATTAAATCCATTTGGAAAAATGTTCTCAGGAAGTTTATTCCACATATGGTGCCTGCTTTTTATCGTATATAATGTCAGCTTTTGTGAATATGATTATATTTTCTGTTATATCGAATGAAGTCTCCGCTTTTGTGAATATAATTATATTATGGATTTTCAGTTTTATCGAATATAGTGTCTACAACTTTTTATGATCGATTATAGTGTTTGCTTTTGTGAATATGAATACATTATGTATTTTCTGTTTCATCGAATATAGTGTTTGCTTTTGTAAATATGATTACATTATGCATTTTCTGTTTTATCGAAAATAGTGTATTTTTTTGTGAATATATTTATTTTATGGATTTTCAGTTTTATCGAATGTAGTGCCTTCTTTTTATCGAATATAGTGTCTACTTTTTATAATCGAATATAGTGATTGCTTTTGTGAATGAGATTAGATTATGCATTTTATGTTTTATTGAATTTGCCTTTTTTTTATCGAATATAGTGTCTACTTTTTATAATCGAATATAGTGTTGCTTTTGTGAATGAGATTAGATTATGCATTTTATGTTTTATTGAATTTAGTGTCTTCTTTTATCGAATATAGTGTCTTCTTTTTATCGAATATTGTGTCTACTACTTTTTATGATCGATTATAGTGTTTGCTTTCATGAATATGAATAAGTTATGTATTTTCTGTTTCATCGAATATAGTGTCTTCTTTTATCGAATATAGTGTTACTTTTTATGATCGAATATAGTGTTTGCTTCTGTGAATATGATTACATTATGCATTTTCTGTTTTATCTAATATAGTGTCTTTTTTTGTGAATATTATCATATTACAGATTTTCTGTTTTATCGAATATAGTGTCTTTTTTGTGAATATAATTATATAATAGATTTTCAGTTTTATCGGATATAGTGTCCTCTCTTTATCGAATATTGTGTCTACTACTTTTTATGATCGATTATAGTGTTTGCTTTCATGAATATGAATACGTTATGTATTTTCTGTTTCATCGAATATAGTGTCTTCTTTTATCGAATATAGAGTCTACTACTTTTTATGATCGATTATAGTGTTTGCTTTTGTGAATATGAATACATTATGTATTTTCTGTTTCATCGAATACAGTGTTTGCTTTTGTGAATATGATTACATTATGCATTTTCTGTTTTATCGAAAATAGTGTATTTTTTTGTGAATATATTTATTTTATGGATTTTCAGTTTCATCGAATGTAGTGCCTTTTTTTTATCGAATATAGTGTCTACTTTTTATAATCGAATATAGTGATTGCTTTTGTGAATGAGATTAGATTATGCATTTTATGTTTTATTGAATTTAGTGTCTTCTTTTATCGAATATAGTGTCTTCTTTTTATCGAATATAGTATCTACTATTTTCTATAATCGATTATAGTGTTTGCTCTCATGAATATGAATACGTTATGTATTTTCTGTTTCATCGAATATAGTGTCTTCTTTTATCGAATATAGTGTTACTTTTTATGATCGAATATAGTGTTTGCTTCTATGAATATGATTACATTATGCATTTTCTGTTTTATCGAATACAGTGTCTTTTTTTGTGAATATTATTATATTATAGATTTTCAATCGAATATAGTGTCTTCTTTTATCGAATATAGTGTCTTCTTTTATCGAATATAGTGTCTACTTTTTATGATCGAATATAGCTTGGCTGGCGTATTCAGCCAAGCTACATATGCAAACCCATCATCAAGCGAAAAATGGCCAACTCCCACCAAACGGTCATCTCCCACTGAACCAGTGAAGCGGAGAAAGTGGAAAGCGGGGATAAGTGAAAGTACTCCGACTACTTGTGCTCCTATTTTTTTGAGGTTACTGCCTGGGATTTTGATTTCATCGCTCTCTTCACAGTTCTGTACTTGTTAAACTAACTCCTCACTCAGTCCAAAATCAGACGAGAACACTATTTGAATAAGGATAGAAATTCTGAATCTGCATTTCACTAACCTGCTGAAGAGATACCACTGTCCATCGACACTGTTAAAGGACTCGATACAGCACCCGGTGATAATTCGGGTTTTTTGGCAATGGTGGCGTATATACTGCCGTCTAGAGGTCCAAAGGTATGGCTGACGTCTTCTGAAACAAATGAATTACGTAGTGAAAATACCGATCTTTCACACATTTCACAAATAAATGGAACTTCATAGTTTGTAACAAACCAAGCAATTTGTTTTTTTATCGAATCTTCACATTATTATTTTGTGGTTTTCCACAGTTTTTTGTCAGTATAGCAATTACGGCAAACGATTTAATCATCACAGAGACATCAACATGATGTCTTGTAATAAGAAACATTGCGTGGGCTAGAAAGTTCGTGGGCTAACACACAGATGGCGCCACGAGTATTACATCCGTACGATTCTTCAGTTCATCCCAAGACCGTAGCCAGAGGGGGGGATTGAGGGGGATTGATCCTCCCCCGAACAATGTGAGGATTTTGTGAGAAATAATGTATTCATCTTGCGTGAAGATTTTTTAACTTTTGTAACAGTTGAGAATATAAAAGGAAAGTATCATTATTATTTTGAAAGTTTGTTCTTTCACAAAATAAAATTCTGTTTACTAAAGATTTAGGATAAGAATTTTGGATCAGAAATGAAGAAATTGAACATAACAACGTTATACCTTCATTCATATATAAATCGCTCCCATATATTCAAGAATTGACACCAAAATCAATTAATGTATTCCGAAATAATAACCTCAAAATATCTAAAACAAATAGTTTTTACATACTACTTTGAGAACGTTTGTAGAATTTGAGGTTAGTTGACGGTATATATTATTTATTCACATCATAAGCTAAAATGAATGTCTCCATTATCATTGATTATGTAATAAGTGTGCAAATATACTAATAAATCAATAATAGATACAAATAATAATTATTAAAGTCCGGAAAAATTAAATTATTCCAAATATTAAATGAAATTTTGAGTAATCTTAAAATTTTAAATGAAAAAAATTATCATCAGGTTGTCCCATACACAGTACAACATGTCGATAGTAACAAAAATAAATTTCAATAAAATTAAATGAATGAATCACAGCGAGAAATTATTAAAAAAAAACGAAGTATGACTTCTTACGTGGGTACAAATTTCTTGCTAACATTTCCTGTCGCTAACGCAATCAGAATCATCTTCATCATATGTCAAGTTTTCATTCTCACGATTACACAAACGCGATTAGTTTGTTTTTGAATCAATGTTTAACACTTCGTTTAACATAGTATACAACAAAGGATAAATCGCAAAAGGAATAATAAACAGAAATAGCCACCCAGGGCAATGCAACAGCTGCATAATAATGATCATTTTCCATAATGTGCAATTTTGTTATCGATCAAATCGTATGATTTGCATTATGGTATAAATGCCGCCAGTAGGTACATAAATTACTGGTTGAACAGTAATCACTTGTAATGATTGTTCTATCATATGGAGAAGGGAGATTGAAACAAGAAATATATTTTAAATTCAACTCTGCTAGTTTCAAAACATAGTTGGATAACGATTTTCAAAATTCAATTGTTCTCCACAAACCGGATTTCCGGAAAGTCTTAGTATGGGTTATACAGGGCTTTTCATGATGAGCGTTAATTAGCCGTTTCCGACAAACTACATATTCAACGGATCAACCTGAAAATTTCACAGTATGCATAAATCAATATGACCTACACGCCTAAAATATTTCAGACGAAGCGGCGTTGTCGCTTCTACTATAAAGTAGCGGCTTCTTTGATTTTTCAAATGGAACACCCCGTATATAATATCATATTATGATTCATTATCACTTTGTCAACAAATTCATNTGGTCCTTCTACTGACATCTGTAACTGCATTTTCAATGAATCGGGGATTTATATTTGCACAGCACTCGCGAATGGTATTTTCCAGATGTTGTATGTCAGTAAATGGTCTACTTCGGTACACTTTTTGTTTCGGGTAACCCCACAAGAAAAAGTCTAAAGGCGTCAAGTCGGGTGATCTAGGTGGTCAATAATGTTCCCAGAATAACTTTGCCTCTGAAGATTTGTTGGAAGGACTGTTTTACAGCAACCGTGTGATGTATTGGTGCGCCATCAAGCTGGGGCCATAGGTCGTATTTAATATTTGAAGGCATATTATCTTAAACTTCACTAACCTCATCATTTAAAAGGTTGAGATAACCGACGGATGATAAATTTTCCCTAAAGAAAAATGGCCCAATTATTTGGTCGTAAAGTATCCCACACCATACATAAGTTTTAAAGGAATACTGATCACCACATTCAACTGTGAAATTGGAATTTTCTTGGGCCCACCATCGGTAATTTTGAGAACTTACAAATCATTCGCTGGCTTAGCCGAATATTTGGCACGAAATGGATGTTTTAATGAACGGAAGCGAAAAAAACCAAAAACGGCTAGTGATGAGAATCACAGTGTTGAAGTGCTAGGTCAAATGTTATTGGAACCACAAACTTCCACCAGACAAGTAGCAATGAATTGTGTCATTTCGAAATCGACAAAACAACGTATTTTGTCAAAAAACAAATTCCATTCTTACAAATTACATTTGGTTCAAGGACTACATCCAGGTAATAATCTTCATGATTCATTTTTAATATCTAAAATATATTCCCATATTCAGGAGATGCTGACAGAAAATTGAACACTTCATTGCATAGTTGTCCACCCGTGTTCATGATAATGATCAGTTTCTAAAAAAAAATATTACGGAGTGATGAAAGCCGTTTCCATAACAACGGTATAATAAACAAACATAATTGTCACTATTGGTCTAACGTGAACCTTCATTGGGTGCAAGAAATGAGATTTCAGTGGGGGGTTAATGTTTGGTGCGGAATCATTGATGATTATTTGATATGACCTCATTTTTTCGAAGGAATTCTCAATGGGGAGAGGTACTTGGTTTTTCTACAACATATGTTGTCGAATATCTTGGAGAATTTACCAATAAAACTCGACTGAATATGTGGTTTCAACAAGATGGGGCACCTCCATATAATAATAGAATAGTTATCCAATATTTGGATGATACTTTTAATGGATTGGAAATAAGGGTCCAGTGCCATGGCCAGCTCGAAGTCCAGATATTACTCCACTAGATTTCCTTTTGAGGGGATATATCAAAGACTCAGTTCACATGCGACGTCCACGAAATGTAGAGGATTTGAAAAATAGTATCACTAATGTTTGTGCTTCCATAACGCGCGAGACGCTTTTAGCTGTCACGAATCGGGAATTACTAAAAAGATGCAATATGTGTATTCTTCGTGAAGGGAGGCAGTTCGAACACTGTAATATACTGAACTCAATAATTTGATGGAACTCAGAATATTCACAACTAATATTAATATAAATATTTGTTCTGGAATAATAAAACAAGATGTTTCACTTTCATATTCTATTTCCCACTGACTGGAATGTCAATATAAAAAATATATACAAAAAAAACATTCCCGTAAAAACAATATACCACCGCTCGATGTACATACAGAGTGTATCTATAATGAATATCTTACAAACACTTACTAAAATGATTCTTGTTATCACTTATTGATTTCGTTATCATCATGTTAGTCGAGTTATGGTCAAAGTAACATATTTTTTGGTAATCTGAAACATTTATTTTAATTTGTACAGAAATACGCAACTAGATAAAATTGAACAGACAATGAAATCATAACCGATGGATTCATTTTATTAAACTCCTATTATTGCATTCATTTTGACTTATTCATGGCCCTCTTTATAATACGCAATGAAATTGCCTTTTTTCATCAGTATTCAAGGAAAACTACAAGTGTGCTATATGACTGAATTCAGAATTTAATGCGGGATTCAAAAACCAATTGAAAATACTGGTTTACCATTTAAAAACACTGACGTCGGTGTCGCGACACTCTAACGGATGGCGCCTAGTGCTGGATCTCTACGTAAATAAGAGAACTCTTTGACACCAAAATTATCTGCTTTCACGAAATATGGATATTCTTTTTAATTTTTTAGATATTTGCCTGCGTAGTTTTATATGGAACACCCTGTATATTTTATCATAATCTTTACATGTCTGTTTAGTGTGATTTCCGTACGCCACTGCAAGAGGCAGGTTAAGGTAACAAGTCAGTCATTTCTGAGGATTTAGTGCACACAAAATCTTTCACGATGAACAAAAAAAAATGTCAATCCATTCGCTTTCAATACAGTGGCAACCTATAATCAAATGGCCAATTGTGGATCTAATCTGTATAAAAATGAAATAATTGCTGAGAGCCTTACAAAACTCATTAATGATTTCCATATGGAAGTAAAAGGTGTTGTTGATCATATTATGATTAATGTTCGAGTCTGAATCATTAAATCATTTTCTTGATATAGAATTAAAACCGGTATGACATTGATAAGTTGCTAGTTTTATGTGACTCATTATATTGTCGTGAGTTTCATTTCAATTCAGTCTGCTGGCCTTATATTTCATCAGTCAAAGGCCTCGTTTTACATTATTATGAGACTTGGATTACTTGACATTGATGTTACTCCATCATATTTTGTTGTTTGGTCTCTTTCTCTATCCACGTACACTTCAATGTTACGAATTCCCTTAAAAACATCCAGAGGTATCATATCAGGTGATCTAGTAGGTTATTCTGAAGGACGACGTGTACTTATCTACCGATTTGGATAATTGACAAATCCCAATGAGTTTATGACTGATATTACATTTCAGAAAGATGAGATACCTCCTTACTATGATGGATTGGTTTTGAAATGGCTAGATCTATCAATTTCAATGCATATGTACCAGGTTTTTTAGAAAAATATGGTGAATGTTCAAATTTTTCGGACTTCATACGCCAATCGAATGGCGATTTTTTATCTTTTTATGTTGGTAGACGTGTCACGAATATATTTTCGCAGTTTCAGCTGTTTAGCATGTTCAGTTAATTGGTGACAGGCATAAAAGGTGGAAGGGTTTTGCATGTTCGGCGATTTTCAGCTATCAAAAAAAATCAGTCTATGAATGTGCATCAAATTTTGTGTACAAAATGGAATTAAGTGGTCGAAACC